CTATACAGTGGTGGAGGTTTGATATTTCTGTAGATAATGATATTTGATTGGAAGTGAAGTGAACAGGAACGTACTGGAAGCGATGGCGTTTGCATAACGGCTTAATTATAATCGAACCGTCGATCGATTTGCCAATCCGACCAGAAACGGAATTAAGTCGTTGTCCACGCATTGTGACCAAACACTGACGGATGTTGTTATATACGTATACACAGCGATATTCGGGGTTTACGGTCGGTCGGGTCTAATTATCGAATGGTGCATTACAATCAAAAAGTCGATGATGTGCCGAACGAATTCCTCGAATTTAAATAGATAGTATTCCGGTAGGGGTTTTGGAATTTTACCTATTTCTTCTTAAAAAAAAATCTATCTTTAGTCGACGGCTAAAAATAACCGAAAGTAATTTCTTTCCGAGAAATCCAATACGAGCTAAAACGCTCCACCATCAACTCCCAGAAACATTCCGGCGTTACTTATGACGTGACAGACGGGCGTCTGACATTGGATATATCTTTTTTGTTTTCGACTTATCTTCGACGACATATTAGAGGCGTTGTAACGTGGCGCTTAATTAAAAATACAACGGGGCATTATGAAATATGGCGGGCTTATCGACTGGCTTTTATCGATGCAGACGATCGGAACGATCGCGCAGCCTATACCTGGCGCTTTAATGCGATTCCAATGTAAATAAAATACGAAGACTCCCGATCGTAAAAAGTCCAATCATCGAATCAAAAGCCAAGAGTTTTACGGGCTCGTACAACGTCGATCTAACTCCGACTTTTACGGCCCGCCAAATGAATATTCCCTTCGCACAAAGTTACAAAAATTCGGGCTCCTTCCGAGCATTGTGCTCGAATCTTCTTTCATCATAATGTAACGAACATCGAAGTAGAGTGAGGGCGATGGTAAATACCTGCGAGTGAAGGACTGGTTCATGCGAAAAGGTGGTCGGGCGACCCTTTTAAGCAAATTCGAGGGTTTCAAAGGGCTCATTAGTCGACTAGCGCCGGTCCGCGTTTCGGCGACATTCGAACCTTATCAAGATTCAGTCGATACACATCAAAGCGGAAGTGGCAAGTATCGTCCGTTTCCTGCATATACACCGAAATAATTATTCATATACAGATCCTTCTTCATCCACTATCCAAGCACAAACCGGCAAACGGAATTACTTCAATCTCATAAAGAAGAATCTTATATATAACTTTTTTTTCGGGGGTTTTTATCTAACGAGTCGTTCGCCTTTTAGGGAAGGACCGTGTATATAAAATCCGAGGCGATAAGCAGGAAAACGTAAACAAACTTTAGCGGAAACGTACATACTCCCGATATGGAAGTTCTTTTACGAGCTCGTTCCTTAGCGAATGCCTAATTACTCGCTTTAATTTTATACCTGAGTTTTTATTAAACCGAACGAGGAGCTTCGCAGTTTATGACGTTCGCTTTTATAACCACTATTTAGCTAAGAACTTTTTATTGGACACTTAAAAATATTCCATATAAACTATAGCTGTAGATGATAAAGCGTCGCATAAAAGTGTATTTATCTCCTAAAATTCGAGATTAGAACCTATAAGAATGCATATATTCGAATTTCCAATTATTTATCGACTATACATCCTGCATATTTCACTACTCCAACCCCAATTACGCATACCGATCGTTAATTAACGGACAAACAACGGTCGATAATGGCGTACGAGTAACCATATAATAAACCTCTTGACGAGGTCGAGTTTGACGAGCTCGACCAGATGTCGTGCCCCGGCTGTATTAATAAATCCAGGAGACGGCCATTCCCGCGATAAATTTCACGAGGAACAGGAGGGACCGAAGGATGCCAGAACTTTTATTCGATTTGCTTGACGAGCCAGCGTAGCGTTTAGCCAATTAGATTTTCGTTGACGTGCGTTCGAAAACAAAAAAAAATAATTAAAGAAAACGTTCGCTTCTATGCCTCAACGTGTAGCTACGTCCCGTCTTTATGTTGTATTCGAACGAATTGCGGTCACGTTTCGCTTTGTTATTGTTAACGAACTGTCTCTCATGTGACTTATAGTTTGATTTGATAACCCCGGGACGACGATACCGGACAAGAACATAGCCGAAGAGATGAAATATATGGAACGGAATGATCAGGCAAAATAAAATGGAAAACGATTAAAGAAATAGAGAGAGCAGAAGAAATCCCTAGTTACCCCGTAAAACTATATCAAATGAAAGAATCTTCGATAACTTTTTTAAAGCTATTACAGCGTAAAATTGAAGTTTTTTTTGTTTCGTCGCGATTCTTAACTAATAGAAAATCTTTCGGATTTCCCGGGAGTCTATTATCGCCGGTAATAGACATCCGAGTCGGTACGTTGGCGCGTAAATAAAATAAGAATCGGGGCGAAATTTCCCGGAGACGACGCCGACATAGACACTTAATAATCCCGTGATTTATGAAGTATATTTGTATTCCGAGTCGGTGCGTAAGGGGTAAGCTCTCGCCCGGTTTCTGTTTCTCTCTTTGCGCTGCCGTCTCCCTTTCAGTTTCCCTCCCGCCGGTTCCTTTGATTCATCAACTGCGATTGTTGCCGGGAAATTGAATGCTACAAAGTGGAAATTCGGGAATTTCGCGACCGGAGGAGCAACAAGAGCTTGTAATTATTGACTGGTAATGGAATTCGCTTATCTTAGCTGCGGTCCCGACCGGATTTATACGCGACAAAAGCACTACTCACTAGCTTCATCGAGATTATTATTGAAGTATTTTTTTATGCTTAAAAAAACCGTTTTAACCTTTTTTTACGCCCTCGCGAAGCCGTTACAGCGAGTCGCAAAACGGTTTTCCGTTCCATTTTCGCCGGGCGGAATTCTTCCGAGTTTTCCGCGCCACTTTAATTACTCAAAGTTCCCCCGTAGAACTTCCGTAAACAAATACAGAAAACTTCTCTGCCGTAGCTTGTACTTATGCGCTTCAAACGGCAATTTCGCTCCGTATTTGATTAAACGGAAAGGGATAGCGACGCGAACGTGGAGCTCCGGATAAAAAAAAAAAACGCGCGATGACTCGCCGGAAATAAGAATTATTGTTCGACGAAGTTTCCATACTTCGCGCCCTTTTATTTCGCGAATTGTCGGGAAGCTTCTTGAATAATAAATGCGAAAGTTTCGTTGCTAATTAGTTCCCCAACACCGGGAGAATTGATAACTCAAAATTGAAGATTTCTTCTAAGCACCGGTAAATAATAATCGTGGTAGAAAATATAAAGAAGAGCTTAGAAGATAAAAGGTAGAGAGTATAGAAAGTGTAGAGAGTTGAGAGTTGAGAGTTGAGAGTTGAGTGTTGAGTGTTGAGTGTTGAGTGTTGAGAGTTGAGAGTTGAGAGTTGAGTGTTGAGTGTTGAGTGTTGAGTGTTGAGTGTTGAGTGTTGAGTGTTGAGTGTTGAGTGTTGAGAGTTGAGAGTTGAGAGTTGAGAGTAAATTCTAAACCACAGTTCTAAGCAGGCATAATAAAACAATAGTAACATAATACAAACTATACATTTTCTGGGACAATTATTAGCACGTTTGGATCTCATCCACCTGTTCAATTCCATCGGGTGCGTTTTGGTGAATGGGCGCCCCGTCCCGCGCGGCGTCGCTCCATTCAAAAATAACGACGGCGACGCCGGCTGGATGGGCGAAACGACGGGCGCGTCGCGGAGCGTCGGCCATCAGGCGTAGCGTAACTTATTGCCAGACGTAATTAGCTACGGCCCGTCGCGACGTCACGTAACGGCCCCTGCGGCCCGCGCGTCTCCCATCCGCCTTGACGTCTTCATCGCGACGCCGTGCGTCGCTCTCGCGACGTCTATCTATCGGGAATCGGAGCCGGAGAAAAAGAGCGTCGTAGCAGAACAGGACGTGCCGTGAGATAATAATTTTTTTTTGTACTATTTACTCGATGAAATTACGTACTTAAAACCTGTATTAAAATCGTAACAAACTCATCGCTCTTTTGGCTTTGTAAAACGCGCTCGCAATTAATTTTCTCTGGTAAAACGAAGCTAATTTCAATAAAGGAAGAAAATTGTGTTTGTGTTATGCGAATGTGTGTGTATACATGTATGAATGTGTATACGTTTTGTGTATCAAAGGGCGGGATTTTGTGAAGTGTTCCGAAACCAATTATTAAAACGAAGGCTCCCAAAGCGACCGCTTCGGCCGCGAACGCGCCGATTAATTCTAAAATCCGGCGTTTTGCTTTTAAACGCCGATACGCGAGGGTTTATTCGTTGCGATTTTAATTACACCGCGAATTATGATTCCTCTTTACGGGCTAATTTTACGAGCCGATCGATGCGTTAGCGCCGCAAAAGAGTTGTAAATTCTCGAAGTCTGCGGCGAGTTCGATAAAAAAATCCCACCCTCTCGATATTAAATCGACCTCACGTGGTGCGGAATGATAAAAAAAATCGGTCGATCGTTTAATTCGTGGAGCCAATAAGACGGTAAGAAGTCATCGGGGTTTATTCGACGTACCGTCGTCGAGAAGTCGAGTCTATAATGCCAATCATACGACCCAATGGACGCGAATGTTATTACTGGTGGATGGATAAACTTGATTTGTATCGATGGCTGCGGCCCATCTCTTTTCTCTGCGCGGCGTTTGGATGGGCTGGGAAATTTTCTGTGCGTCTTTCCACCGCCGGCGGTTTCTTCGAACAATAAAGTGTACAATTACAGTCGTGACGAATGCCACACGCGACCCGGTCAATTATCATGATGGCCACAAAAGAGACCTTTTTTCTCCATAAACTTGATACTCGGGCGATAACCATCGACGCCCACCCCTCTCGGTAGAAAATAATGCTTTATCAGTCCGGACTATCGCCTTCCGTTCCTCGAACGACCTGCTATTATACGCGGCGATCATCGGATTGATTATTTTTTGTCTAAAAATAACAGAAAAATAAAAACGCTCTCGTTCTGCGGCTATTAATCTAAACGGCATGGGCTTCGAAAAATATTTTGAGAAATATTCACAATATCATTTATCTTAATTAAGAATGTCAGAAGAAACTACTCGGTGAACTTATATAAATGACTAGGCAGAAACAAAAAGATGTCACTAAGTCACTAAATCTATAAATATCGTTTCTTGGAAAAGAGATATATGTTTTATGTTTTTAAAAACATGTTTAGGTATATTGTTGATATTTGCTCTTTGGTCATACCTAACATGCACAATGATAAGTAAAGTCGTTGAACTCAAAAACATATAATATTTCCGAAATGTTAGAAAAACGAAATTCACTCTACAAACACTTTTATGTCTGATTGTACAATGATAAAACATACCAAATCTCCCTCGTACAATATACCTACTTTTCTTCATGAACTCAATTGAACTTGTGATTACATTTTATCAAACATATCACATATAATAACTGCAATTGTATTCCGGATTCTGTTATATTGTAACACATCGTTCAGTAGAGTCGAATCGACAATGGCGTCTTTCGCTTTGCCTCAATTATACAAAGACAGTTCGGAAAAAATATTCATCGCGACGAAAATACTGCTGGAGAAATACAAGCATCTTATTAAGATCGAAGAGAACGCCTCGATATTCGAGTTCGGCGTCGGCGATGGCAGCCATTCGGCCAAACTTTTATATCCGCTCTACCCCGGCGATTATAAGGAAATTGTGGCGACGGATCTATCCCAGGCGATGCTCAATTACGCGAAAAACAACGAAAATATACCGAGATGCGCGTTTTCGCTGTTCGACGTCGCCTGCGAGACCGTGCCCGAGGATTATTTGGCCAGATTCGATAACGTTTTCAGCCTTTTCACGCTGATGTTGGTGAGAAACACCGAGTAAGTAATGCGATTTCTTTACCGTTCAAATGCCGAGATAATGGCGGGTTATTAATTTTTAAGGCGTGCTTTTAAAAATATTTACGCTATGTTGAAACCGAACGGTCGAATATTCAGCGTCTTCCACTCCGTCCTGCCCACTAACCAAGTGTATGAGAAACTCTCGAGGCACCCGATTTGGGGAAAATATGATCACAATATTAACATTTCGTCTTATTACAATGAAAGCCAACCGGAAAAAGGATACGAAAGGGCGTTGAAACAAGCCGGTTTCGACGATTACACTGTTCAAGTAGAGACTTTTAAATATACCTTCAAGAACGAAAAAGAATGGAAAGGTAAGAAACTATTATTTATCGTACGTATAATTATTATTGCAAGATGGTTAATTTAAATTTATAAAGCTTCTTGTGGTATAATTTTCTTAATGATCGTACATTCTAGATTTTTTCTATTCTGTGAACGTGGTAGCTCCAAAAATCCCTCAAGAAGAAATCGAAGACTACAAAAAGGAATTTTTCAAGTTAATCGAAAACGAAGTACTTATTGAAGATGAATCCGTTACCGATGAAAACGGGCTCAACTCTCGTCATGTAACTCTCAGCTTGTGCGTTTTATCCGCCACAAAATAAACTTTCTATCATTCACTCCACCTTTTTTAGCTTACTGTAAATTTAGTTTTTGTATCCACACATGCTTTTATACCAATAAATAATGCCTTATAACTTAAATTAGTCTAGCTGTATTATAAAAGTAGTTTTTTTATTAGATTAGGCGCCCTGTTATACCCGGCGTTTTGAAATAAAAGAAAATGTCTGCGATAATTAAAAGTTCTTAGGCTATTAACGCCGTCAGTTCGTGTTACAGAGTGGAAGTGTTGACAACGCGACGGCGATTATTTTTACTATTTTCTCGTTAAACGCGCGGAAAAAAATCGAACGAGCCACTAACAATAAATAATTCCTCGAAAACGGTTTCCGGCGCGTCTCGGAACGCGAGAAGACGATATAAATCGATGATTAAATACCCGGTGGCAGCCATTTAACCAGAACATGTGTAACACCCGCGATAAATAACTTTTGGTCGAGAAATAGAATCCTTTTCTGAAACGAACCGAAAAAAAAATTAAAAACGGGCCTAATAGACGATGAAATTAATTGCAATTAACTTTCGCATATTAACGCGATACACAATAACTTCCCCTGGGAGGAATATTAATTATAGGAACGCTCCGGCGCAACTTTCCGATTCCGGATTTAATTAAAAGAAAATTAATCGCTTCGGCTTTTTCGTCGTTTGTGAAATTTTTCGAGAAACGTTCATTTCTAATTGCAATTACATCGAAATTAAATGTCGAGTGCACTAGATTGATTTGATAATTGATTCGAAGCTCTTCAATGGACCTCGATATCACGGGCGTAGTTGTGCACTCATAATGCAATCCGGTAATTAATAAGTCGCTGGATACTGGTTAAATTAACTAATATTGTGGGTTTCTCGGTAAATTGGATATTATAGTATGTAGAAAATCTATTGAATTCGGATGAATTTTAATTGATGGTTGAATTTTAGCAATCTACAACCCTTTAGTACGATACAGCACTGTTTATTAAGCTCTTTTTTTTTCGAACAAAACGGACTCTTTACGTTAATTGGAATCGGAAAGCTTCGGCCCGTCGTCGAGCGCTGAAGATTAAGTTGTCGACGGATTTCCGTAAAAGTATAATTACGTTTTAGGAGATGTTTTTCGATAAATTCGCCCGTCCGCTTATTTACGTAAAGCGGCTCGCCGCCGACGAAAAAATTAATCTATTAAAATTGGATTTCCTTTCGGCGGTAACACAAAAGACGCCCGGCCGGCGCGCCGTTGCGCAATATTAACGATCGATTTCCCAACCAGAGAGCCTTTTATGACTCGATTGATTTTTTCTCTGGTGTTGCGAAAGAGTTCATATTCACCGTTAAAACGAAACTACGATGAGCGCCAAATAATAATCCCTTTTCGGCTGGTACTTTACCCCTAAAGCGAAAGTTCTTCGGGGTAGAGCAGACTAGAGTAAAGAGTTGAATGTTGAAAGTGTAAAAAGTGTAGAGAATGTAGAGAGTATGCAGAGTGCAGAGAGTATACAGTTAATAGAGTTGAGTAAAGAGTAGTGTGTAGTACTTACGAAAAAAAGTACGAGTAGAAATTTAATCGGGTTTGATTCGAAAGGGCCGCAAATCTATGAAAGCGGCATGAAAACCCCACCACCTGATCGGATTTGGTTGCTACCGAAACTCGAAAGAAGATTACGCGGCACCAATTCCATGTCTGTAACTAATAACTTCAAAGAGCCGCTCGCCGTCTTAATAAATCATAAGAACCGAGGGAAGATGGAAGACGAGTCCTCATCGTCTCGATTCTTTCGTTTATTAAAAAATCCCAAAAACACATCATCGCCGACTGCCGCGGGCCTAAAAATATTTTTAGTATTACACGCTTTACCGACGGTTTATTTACATCTAACATTTACGACAATTACACCGGCTATTTGCTCCAGTAATTGACTAGTTTATTAGATGACATTCTGGCCTATCCCCGGTTTCATGTCGACATCGTTCCGGCTCTATGATGGGCAAACACGTTTATGGGTTATTTAAATTTATAATTAGAAACGTTATAATACCTGTCAGAGCTGAGTGGCGTTTATTGATCTGTATTTACGTTCGTTTAGTTTCGCTATCAGTACAACTCACATTATCGTGTAATTAAACAAATCTATATACCCAGAGAAAAGTGTAGTTAATTGTATTATTAAAACATAGCCAATATGTTGGTAATTACCTAAATCATGGTACATAGAGTGATAAACCAATTACCCAGCATTCTATTTTAAAATCGCCCCGTAGGAGAGCGATTCAGTCCGGCCGGTACGAGGCCCATTATTAACCAAATTGTGTTTCCTAATAACTATATCGAAGGTAGAAGAGATTCGTAGAGGAGAACTCGCGAGACCGTTCTTTCCTGCGGCCTTTTTTTTCTCTCTTCTCTTCTCTCCACTTCGGGGCCTTGTTAGTGTACGCAGCTGCGATCGCTAATGACTTCTTTACCGGGACCAGTTTCGAAAATTGTCGGTCAGCTCGCCCCGGCTCGAATTATTTACGAAGATCGCTGTATAAAGGTCGGAATTAATTCGGCCGCGGCGTTTGTTAACACGGAAGCAACCGGGTTTTTATTAGCTGTTGCGCAGGTAATTACGATTTTTTTTATCGAGACATTTCGAGAGTAGCATTTGAATTATTAGGGACGCCTAGTCTATTTTTTTTTAATAAAGTAATATTAGATTGATGTCGGGGGCTTGTTATGTCGAGCGGTAATCTCATCGCATGTGTACAGGTAATGTGAAAGGGGGGTTAATCTATTGTAGAGGCGAGTATTATCAGCGGGCCAGTCATTTTTGCGATGATATACGACGCTATGCGATTAGCACACACTAATATACAACAACCATAAATTATCGACGGCTTTCTGGCCGCACTCCTTTATTCCCCCAGTCATTCGCGATAAATCCGAAGGCGACATCGCCCGCGGCGTGCATGTGTGTATCTAATAGCAGTATACCTAACAATATTAGAGCCGTCGATGGAGCCCGGGATACGTGTAAGTTGGGTGCTAACCAACTATTAGGAGTCGTATCGTAAAAGCCGGCGCGTGTCCCTTTTCAATAGTTTCGGGTGTTTCTCCCGATGAATCAGCAGATGTCTGCGGGATTGCGGATGGAGCACGCCCATCGGGAAAACGTGCTCGAATAGATTAAAATCGCACGCGAACGATTGGATTACCGGGTTTAGTTTTCGTCGAGATAATTAGATGACAACTTTGGGTAATCCGGAAAACTCGCGATTAGAGCCATTGAAATTGTGTTTCGCGATTTACATGATTCGGCCGAAATTAATAAAACTTGCAAATTGAAATTAGTTTCTTTCAGCTAGGGGGGAACGCCGGTAAAAATGTTGCCGGCGAATGCAAATCCGTTCCGATGTTTTCCGTAATTTTAAACACGGCCGTTTGAGACTTACTGCTTAAATAAGGCCCGAGTTGAAGGGTGAATAGTAAATGAGACGTGGGGGAATAATTTTTTCAAGTATTAACGTTTCAGATTGGGACGGATGTACGCAATCAAACAAGTACTAATTTACCCGGATTTTATACAAACAGTTACTCTTAAATTGTAAGTTTAGTTATTTTGTAATTACTTTCGCTACATAGTCTCAACTTATTAACATATCAACAGCGACGAATAATGCATTACACTCCATGACAAATGATGTAATCAACAACGTAACTCCTTCTAACAACGTCCATAAATCCTACGAGAACAATAATAATAGCGGAGTATAATATCTTTACCTATATGGTTGCGGAGTAGGTGAAAGCGATTAATATGAATAATTATCTTACTGAAATTTTAATGGATGTTCGTTTATTACCGGCTCATTTAAAAATCATCGGCTCGCGGGTAACCGAGCAATTTACGCCGGGGGATTTTTTTTTTTTTCACAAAAATTCGAGTGCATTTCTCGCCAACGACCGGCCGGTAATTAACTCGAATATTCTGACGTGTTTACGAACCTCGCCGCAAAATCGTCAACGCATTTCTGAAATGCCCGCGCGGGAGATAAATAACTCAATTATCGCGCGGTTGACAAAAAAAAATCCGCGCGAATCGAATTCGGGGAGCCAAAGATGCGAATAAATTGCGGCGTAAAGCGCCAATCTATAAAATACCTTTTCGAATAGCTAACGAGGTGCTAAGTACTCGCGAATTATCGACAGAATGTTCGAAATAGCATCGTTCTAACGTATAACGCGCCTAAACATCAGCGACTCGTCCTGAAAAATTTAATTTCCCCCAAAAAAACTAATCAATCTAATAAAAATTTGAAAATTAGTTTTACTCTTTATCGAGTTTATTAAATTAGATATATTAATTCTGCATTATTTCCTACAAAATTATCGTTTTTCACATTTTTAAATTAATTAAATCGGTTCATTAAAAACGATATTAGGTGTACGTTCACCCTTTGAGAATGTTTGTGCGAATAAAATTTTAAATCTTCTTCTACAACGCCTCTGCTTACTTTCGGTTTAAAGCCTTAATTAAAAAGCCATAATGTTTATTTGCATAATTGGTCGCGCTCTCTGCGAGGGAAATTACCGAGAAAATTTAACTTTGAATACTGTTGAAACTGGCATTTCGAGCCATTAATTGCGCCGATAAAACCGCGCGGGAAATATCAATATCGAGTTCGGATGCAAGGTAGAAAGTAATCGTTTATATTAATTGTCAATTTTTTTTTTATTTAGTAGCGTATAAAATAAGACTTTTAGAGTTCATTACGATTGTTTTCCTTCCGTTGTTAGTTTTTACTGTGAACATCGGTGTTTCGTATAATTCATTAATATAATCTTTTTTATATTCCTCTTGCAATTCTTTGGGGATAAACGGAATAGCCGGATTCACAGCCAAATGCAGATCTATAATAAATAAAAAAATGCATATAATCAATTCAAAATTCCGTTAATTTTACTCACCAATAAACTCTTCTTCTCCGAATTCGTACGTATCATTCACCGGTTTCAATTCATACTGTTGGAAACCGACGCTTTCGATATCTTTCACGAAATCCTCGCGTGGATTTTCGGAGTAACTATAAGGAAACGGCGACTCCTCGTGCACGTACCGGCTCCATTTGGTGCTGTCCTTCAGCTTCTCGAACGCCTTTTGGGCCGAGGATCGTTCGAAGAACGTGAGAAACGCCGAACCGCCGGGCTTCAGCATGCGTTTGATGTTCACGAACGCTTCTCTAGCAGCGCAGTGCGAAAAAAATTAGCGTATTCTATTCGAACGGGTGCATAATAAAGACATTTACCTTGGGGTTTTTACCGTGTGCATCACCAGAAACCCGAAGACGTGGTCGAATCGTTCCTCGAACTCGATGGGAACGCCAGCGCACACGTCCAATTTTCTCACGGTGGATTTGGGTATGTTGAAGTGCTTCTTGGCGAATTCGACCATTTCTTCGGAGGTGTCGCTGCCGATGAATTCTTTGTAGTCGTCGGGCAGCAGGGGAAACAACGTTCTGAGGGAATTGTGGCCGGTGCCCAAGCCGATTTCCAGGATCGATTCCGATTGCTTCCATTTTATCAGATGCTGGCATTTATCGAGGTGGTCCTTCACCAAGGCGAAGGCGGCGTTGCTGCTCTCCGTCCACAATTCGGGAAACTTGAACGACATGGTGACTATGACTGCTCGATGTCGATAAAGGTTGGTAAATTTATACGAAACGAAATTAATAGTATTTAATTATTTTATCGGCAACTTGTTTTTTTTGTGATATCTACTTGTATAAATTATTTTTATGAAATTGCGTAATTTAAAAATAAGGCTAATTAATGTTGTTTACAAATTGGAGGATTGTTTTATTAGAGTTGCTCTATTTATGCACTATTAAAATAATACATAAATCGGTAATTAATGCAATGTAACAGTTGCAATTTAAACTTAACTTACTTGCGTAGGTAGCGATAACAGGCTACTTACCTTTTTAAATTCTTGTTTACGCATGTTTGGTTTTAATAACTATGTATAATAATTAATCGGTCAGTAGATAATACAAGACAATAATATAAATATTAAAATCAAGTTTGTACGTCAAAAAACAATTATTTGGTAGCATAAACAACCATATTTAAAGTTGTTAAGTCAGTTATTTTATTGCCGTTTTCATCCAGTCTTTGATTCACAACAGGTCCGTTAAAAACCTCCGAAATATATTCTTTCATGTATTCATTCCGTTCTTTCTCGTCCGAAATTTGGAGTTGAACTGGATTCACAGCATAAAACAAATCTGTAAGCACTAAACTTACTGGTTAATTTCTGATGAATTTTTATAATTTGCACATTTTCTATTCACCTTCATGATCTTCATCGGTTTTAGCAGTGTACGTTTCGTATGCCTTTTGAATGATGGTTTTACTAAATTCGGCTGCTTCGAGATCCTTCTGATATTCGTCTAAAGGACTGGCCGAATAATGGTAGGGTGGAATCATCTCATTATGATCATACCGGCCCCATTTCGGGCTATTTTTCAATTTCACGAAAGAGTGTTCAATCGGAGTATGTTGGAAGAAAGTCAAAAACGTCGATCCACCGGGTTTCAACATATCTTTGATATTTTTAAAAGCCTTTCTAAAACGTTATAAAGTTATCGTTAGTAAATAAATTAGGATGTTAGAAAATGTTGTGTGCTCTTATTACCTTGGGTCCTTCACCACATGGATAACGTTGAAACCAAATATGTGATCGAATCGTTCGCGAAACTGGGAAGGAATCTCACCGCAAACGTCCAATTTGACTACTTCTGATCGAGGCAACTTGAATTCCTTCTTAGCATAATCGATCATTTCGTCGGAAATGTCACTACCGATAAACTCTTTGTAGTCGTGAGGCAGTAAAGGAACTAATGTTTGCAAACTGTTGCTTCCGGAGGCGAATCCAGCTTCCAAAATTGATTCGGATTTTTTCCATTTTATTAGATGCTTAAATTTCGAAAGGCTGCCCTGCGTAAGCGTTCTTGCCACCTCGCCAGATTTTATCCATAAATGAGGAAATTTGAACGACATGATTTGAAACAATAGAATGAATAAATCTAATAATCTGCATGTTTTATATATTACGCAGGTACTTATATACGCATATGATTGATGCAATTATTCTAATTTCTAATAAAATATTTACGAACATGTAATTATACTTTATATCCTTGTTTACTTTAAAACAATAGTTTAATTAAATCACTATCTTTATTTAGTGGCGTATACGATCATATTTAAAGTTGTTATGTCAGTTATTTTATTGCCATTTTCGTCTAGTCTTGAATTCACAACAGGTCCGTTAAAAACCTTCGAAATATAATCTTTCATGTATTCATTCCGTTCTTTCTCGTCCGAAATTTGGAGTTGAACTGGATTCACAGCGTGTAACGTATCTATAAGCACTAAACTTATTGGTTAATTTCCGATAAATTTTTATAATTTGCATGTTTTCTATTCACCTTTATGGTCTTCATCGGTTTTTGCAGTGTACGTTTCGTATGCCTTTTGAATGATGGTTTTACTAAATTCGGCTGCTTCGAGATCCTTCTGATATTCGTCTAAAGGATTTGTGGAATAATGGTAGGGTGGCATCATCACATCATGATCATACCGGCCCCATTTCGGGCTTTTTTTCAATTTCTCAAAAGCGTGTTCGATCGGAGTATGTTGGAAGAAAGTCAAAAACGTCGATCCCCCCGGTTTCAACATGTCTTTGATATTTTTAAAAGCCTTTCTAAAACGTATTTTAGTTATCGTTAGCATATGAGAATGTTACAAAAATTTTTGACAACTGTCGAGTGATCTTACCTTGGGTCCTTCATGACGTGGATAAGGTGGAAACCAAATATGTGATCGAATCTCTCGTGAAACTCGGAAGGAATCTCACCGCAAACGTCCAATTTGACCACTTCTGATCGAGGCAACTTGAATTCCTTCTTAGCAAATTCGACCATTTCGTCGGAAATGTCACTACCGATAAACTCTTTGTAGTCATGAGGTAGTAAAGGAACTAACGTTTGCAAACTGTTGCTTCCGCAGGCGAATCCGGCTTCCAAAATTGATTCGGATTTTTTCCATTTTATTAGATGCTTAAATTTCGAAAGGCTGCCCTGCGTAAACGCCCTTGCCGTGTCGCCAGATTTTTTCCATAAAAGTGGAAATCTGAACGACATGATTTGAAACAAATACTAGGATTTTTTAAAAGGAATGGTGAATATTTTAATTTTAGGTTCAGGAGTTTTAATATTTTTCTGAATAACCCTGGGTCAAATGTTATCTACTACTAAGATACAGGGTGTCGAAATTAAAATTTATTTTTCTCTTATTTGTAATAATTTGTGCTTAACACAATTCATATCTCTCATTTTTGATATTTTTTTTCATCCAGTAGAGAATAGTTGGTGCCCTTCTAATCTCAAAATTGATAACATGCTTGTGATTAACTTAAATCTTAAAACTGTAACCATGCCAAATGTCATGTCAATATGATAAATAAAAAAGAAATTTTGCAAAAAAACGAAAAATAAATTCTCTGTATCTTATTAGTAACCCAAAGAAACATCCTGTATGTAGCATTGATGCAATTTTTTTTAATCCGTAATAAAACTAACAAAATATTTATTATACATATAACATTTATATACTTAATGTTTACTATTTAAAACAATAGTTAAATCAATATCTTTATTTAGTGGCGTATACGACCATATTCAAGGTTGTCATATTCGTCAATTTCTTTCCATTTTTATCTTCTATTTCATTTATGATTGGTCCCTTAAAGATTTCTGCAAAATATTCCTTCATGTATTCTTCCCGTTCGTTTTCATCAGGAATGTCCAATGGAATAGGATTCGCGGCTTTTAACAGATCTGCCAACACTAAACATATCGGTTAATACTTCTAGTTCCACTGAATACCTACACATTTTTTTAATGATAATAACTAGAAATATTATATTTACTACTATGATCTTCCTCGGATTTTGCAGTGTAGGATTCGTACGCTTTTTGAATAACGGTTTCCTTAAATTGAACAGCGTCGAGGTCCTTCTTGTACTCATCTAAAGGACTAAGCAAGTAATGGTATGGTGGTATCATCGCATCATGATCGTACTTTCTCCATCTCGGGTTGTTTTTCAAATTCGCGAAAGCGAATTCGTTCGGAACACGTTCGTAGAACGTTAAAAACGTCGATCCGCCCGGTTTTAGCATACTCTTGATATTTTTGAAAGCTTTTCTACAGAACAACAGTGAATATTTAAATAAAATAAGAAATAAACAAATAGTTCTCACACTGGGTCCTTCACCATGTGGATAACGTGGAAACCAAATATGTGATCGAATCGTTCGCGAAACTGGCGGGGAATTTCTCGGCAAACGTCGAGCTTGACGATTTCTGATCTGGGCAACTTGAATTCCTTCTTAGCATAATCGACCATTTCGTCGGAAATGTCACTACCGATAAACTCTTTGTAGTCGTCGGGAAGTAGAGGAATCAACGTTTTCGAACTGTTGCTTCCAGAGGCGAAGCCGATTTCCAAAATTGATGGCGATTTTCTCCATTTTATCAGGTGTTTAAATTTCGAAAGTGTACTTTGGGTGTACAACGCTGGTATTTGCCCACCTTTTGACCACAGCTGGGGAAATTTAAACGACATTGTGCAACGTTAATGCATCTGTTACTTCTAACTTATATAGCAGATAACTGATGTTAAAATTATTCCGAGAAATATTTTGTTATGAAACGATTTATTTTCGATAAATAATTTGGGATTTTTCTTTTTATTTATTGCAATTAAATTACAGGGTGATATATAAGCAGTTTCGGTAAGGCGACTTATTGGCTATTCTGCATATGATATAAATTATACAACAATATATGGTGCAATTGAACCTGCTTAGTAAATATGTACCTAGTAAAGGTAATTATTTTTATCATGTTTTGAACTGCATATTTCCTAATATTTTTACGGTTTATATTAGGTTTAGATTTATCACTACCTGCAATACAATGGCATTTAATCTACGAAATAGTTTTATCTTTAAAATATTTATTTACGCATAAGGAAGAGTTATTGTTTCATGTTTTATCATTTAGTCGATTTTTTTAAGTTAGTTTTTATCGCATTTTAATTTACCCGTTTACAGTCAATTAAATGATAATTAATTATATCTCTAACTGCAAACATACCTATTACGTAAGTTAATAATAATGTAAATATTGTGAATGTGTACTATACAATATGTAAAGGAATATAAAAAATCTTAAAAAATTCAAGAGTTGAAACAATTTGTATTTTTGATAATGTTTACTAACGTTTTCCAATTCTACGTCATGCTAGATCTGGTGCTTTAGCCTTGAAATATGTATAAAAACAATTCCTGTAAATAATAAATAAGTACACGTAAAACATAAATGCTACTGAAAAACTTTTTTTTTCTGGTTAATAATTAAATTCTTGTTTAAAAGTACATATGTACTTAAATTTTTTATGCCATTTATTATAATATAATAATGTATTAATGGTTCTACTTTGACGTAAATGCTTAAATCAAATTAATTGCATACATATTATTTATAATTGTTTGAGAAAATATAATATACCTAGGTACCTAATAAAACGTACATACACTTATTAATTTACTTTATTTTTCACTTACAAATTTATTGTATTCATTTTTCTATAATAATCTGATTTGCAATTGCATAAAAAACTTACGCTTACTCAATTTTTTTATTATTTACAACACAAAAGTATGTCGACTTGTCAAGAGTTAACCTGAAGGTCAACTCGGTAGAAGTTTTGTATATTGCCTGCGTATCGCATGTTTTTTTGTATATTGATCCCTTTATCGCAGACACTTCTTCAATCTGCCAGCAATCAATCTCTATTAACTTGACCTTAAAATATCGAAAAAACTCTCGCAATATCCACAATTTACAATTTTAATTAAATAACTGATTAATGGATTAAGTATGAAACGCACATTCCATGAGCCCAGTTAATTGCCAAATTTTATGTGATTTAGACTATTTAGAGCATTTTGTAATTAATTCGCTAAACATGTCTATGATATTTCCCGAACTGTACGCGAAAGTAAGTAACTTTAACCTAACGATGGCCAATGTGGCCTTAAAAAAATGGAATCACGCGTTGAACTGGAAGAAAAACGAATCGATTTTGGAAATCGGTATGGGTCCCGGCTATAATTCGGAAAAATCCTTAATACCACTCATACCGAAGGACTATAACGAGTTTATTGGCAGTGACGTTTCCAAAGAAATGTTAGATTACCTGAACAAAAATTGCCTTATTCCAAAGTCGAAATTCGTATTTCTGGACGTTATGAATGAGCCTCCGGTCGAGTATCAAAATCGGTTCGATCATATTTTCGGCTTTACCGTCATGCATAGGCTAATCAAACCAAGGTAGGTAAGTAACAAGGAATTATAGATGTGAATACAAAATGGGTATAAATGTTATTTTAGAAACGGGTTTGCGAGCGTTTTCAAAATGCTCAAGCCCGGAGGAACTGCATTTTTAACGTTCTTCGACCGAGCTCCGATCGACGATGTCTTCGATAGGATGCGATTTAATACGCTTTGGAATAAATACAAACAGGGCGAAATGGTTTCAACTCATTATTACACCGAGGATCCTTACAAGGAATACATCAAAGACATAGAAGCTGCAGGGTTTGAAAAATATTGGTTAGATAAAGACGAAATGACTTACGTTTTTGGTTCCTCTGAAGAATGCTATAGTAAGTAACAAGAAGATAATTTTCCTTCAAATTTTAGTCATTGATTTTTATAGTAGATTTGTTGTAGATTTGTTAACGTCTGTAAATACCTCTATGGCGTACATTCCCAAAGAACTCCACGAAAAGTACAGCGAAGATCTGAGAAAAGAGTTGGACAGAGGAGTACAATTCACGAAAATTTACAAAAATGGACAGGAAACGTTCGAGTTGAAATTTAATCAGTTAATTCTCATTGGTAACAAACTGTAAAAACAATATAACTTATTTTTATTAATGAATTATACTCAAGTCTTGTTTTCTGATATCGCATTTATTATCAAATTGATTGCCTTGAGATGTTGTTATTTGCGCATCTATTACAATAACGTTGAGTGTGGAGCTGTATTTAGTGCGAATTGTTTGTCCGAAAGCAATACAAACATGCTTGGTATTTCCCGAACTTTGACCGAAAAGCAGAAAATTCGTTATCTCAATAAGTACAAACATAAATTGCATTGAAAAATAAGAGTAGCTATACACGAGAAATCGGATTTCCCACATTCAGCGCAATATCTTATACTATTCCTAAGATTTCGTAAGTCAAGAAGATAAGTAAGCCAGTATTAATTGCTAATAAATAAATCAGTTAATATTTTGTACATTCTTTTTGTATGATTCAAACCTCCCTCGCCTCTAATCTCTATAACCGATCGCATAAAGTAAACTGATAATGCCCAACAAAAGTGATCGTTACAGTATTTGGTAAGCGCAAATCAGTCGCTTCCACGTGCAAATTACAAGCGAATACTCAGAAGGATTAAATTATCGGCGTTCGTTCGCATTGCGCTGCAGTTTTGATATCGACACCGCGTTTGGAACGCGAGATAATCCAAAAACGAGCGGAACAATCGATGCAACAAATTAATATTTCAAACGAACTCGCCGTAAAACTGCGCCGGACTCGATGGGAACACAACGTAACAGTTGTCTGTAATTTTTAATTTGAATTTCGCGAAACAGGAATTTTGTTTCTCTCCGGAAAACAGCTTAGACGCACGTGCCGCGAAAGGAACTTAACATTATGAGAAATTAGCAGCACCTCTCGAGGTAATTTCGCTCCGGATGACTTATGCTCCGTACGGCGCTCTGTATACGTAATCAACGCGATATTAAACCGGATTCGCCGCGTTTAAGAAGGGCTCTTTGCAGATTTTAAATAAGTTGATTGTGTAATATACGCGGATAATAGTCGATGCGAATTTCTCGGCACGGCGAAAAGAGCAAAAGCGGAGTTGAATGGGATTTTTTACCGACTTTTAACGTTTTGAAAATAAGATGAACTTACCGTGTTTGTATTTATCGAGCTCGCATAACGGCGTTATTTTTCCATTGATTGAAGCTTAATGATTTCGGTGTTTGTACGCGGGTAATTGCAAAAAAGCGTTAACTGTAAATAAAAGCGCTCAACGGAGCGAAAAATTCCGCTCGAAATAAAATTTGTACGTTTCTAAGTAACGGCAAATATCGATTCGCATTGTAAAATTTTTACTGCCCGGCTAATACTCCGAAGAATCAGCATTATAACGAAGCGCATATAAGCTGCGGTTGCATTCGGACCGATCGTCCCGTCGCGAAAGAGGGATGATTTCGCCATTTCCTCCTTCAATTTCGGCCATACTGCGCACGGAAAAGCTTTGTCTTAGACATTATAATGCGATTTTCCCCCTCAGGAATAAGAACCCGTCCCCTTATAAATATATACGTAGCGGTTTTGCAACAGATGCTTCGAACGGCTTACGACATGCCTTCGCTATCATTCTTACTAGTTTTTATTGCCACCGAGTAGACATTAGACTATATGAGTGAATGTACACATATTAGGAAACCTCTCCACATACTCAATCTCGGGTTTAATATCGCGGAATTAGGTTCCGAGGAACATTAGGAATATTTTTCCGGAGGATTTTCACGCTCCTTTGCTGGGAAGTTGATATGTATCAGTGCGGACACTTGTCAACGGGACTTTACATTCGTTTCGGGAAAGTTGCGTTTCTTATGTTGACGTGTCCACGTCCCGTCCGCTTTCATTATTTTCCGAATGTTATTGTATTTCTCGTTCCGCGTCTGGGGCGCTGAAACGACGCCATCGTCGCGACGTCTACTGATGTTTCTCCGCAAAAAAAAACACACCGCTCGTTGGCGAACTTTTCGGGCGAGTATGAGAATTATAGCGAATAAGTAGTAAGCGGATTTAATCGTATAATTTCCCGGCAACGCCACTGCAAAAAAAACCAGCTTCGTATACCCGAAGGCGATGCACTACCAACAGAACAAATTGAAATATAATCGATGGGATCACGGTTTCTCGCGAGTCACGATTATTTCCAACCACCTTTCCTCTCAGCGAAGAGCTCTTTTTTTTTCATCTCCTTTTTCGCCGCTTCGTTCCGACTCGGCTCGTCACGATAGCGTAATGATGACTTCATCTGCTGGAGGTTCCGTCGATGAGGCGTTCGGGTACCGTCGAGGATCTCTGCAGATCCGCCATCTCCGTCGCTCTAATTGCTTTATTATTTGAGCGCCGGCGATCCCATCGTACTCGCCGTGCTGGAAATTGATTGGTACAGATCTCCTTGTACTCGTTTTTGTGATCCTGATGATTGCGAATCTTCGTTTTACTGGATAAGTTTGCGACCCTTGACTCGCTATATACAGGGTGGTAGTATGGAAAACCATCTTCTATAGGTACTTTAGTGTACTTTGTTGTGATATTTTATTGAGTAATTTTGTCTGGTGGCATTTTATGTTCGTCTGGATGTCGTTGGCACATAATTTCGTGTTATCCTAAAGCCTCGGACGAGTCGTATCTTACTATTCAGCATGTATGTGTATGTACATACATGCGAAATACATTTGCGAATGCGTATATTTCAGCGTTTGCTTTGGCTGGGATCCAGACGAACTAATGGATTTAATGCCGAAACAACGAAAATAGGAAACGGGGTAACAAAGAATCGCGACCGTAAATAACCCCGATAATAAAGCGAATAACGATTAATAATGCGAAATTCTGACGAATCTTCGGAAAGGAATTTATTTTTTGAAAAATAAACCCGCTTTAACGACCGGCCGTATAACCCCCGACCTATAATTTAGCTCCGGAGTTGATAAAATTCCTGAGTGAAACTTTAGAGATATTAAACTCATCTTGCTCATCTGTTCGCGTCATAAAAACGCATTTTTTAAGACATTACCGGAGCGGCAATAAAGAAACCAAACACCGAAACCGCAACTCTGCCTTAATGGAGTTCGCGAATTCTGCGAATTTATACCGAAAAATTACCTTCCAAACTTTTTTTATAAAGTGACTTAAAGTCTACTTTATGCAGACCCTGTATATACCGGACAACACATGGTCCCGAGCAATCCATTTCAGCGCGTAACAAGCGCATTACCATGTAACTACATAGTACGTAGAGCATATTATTCCATAAAACGTATATCCTTAAACTTACCTACACTTTATAGGTATCATAATATTAAAGCTCCGGGAAAAAGCGCCGCTAAAAACTGGAAACTTTTCCGCCGCGCCATTTGCGAGCCGCCCTCCACCCCGAAAAACTATAAGCGGAAATGTAATAGACTCCGTAATATCTTTCGGGAGTAACAAAGCGAAATATGTTTTAGTGCTCGACGGGGAGAATGGCCCCGCAACATTTTCCCAGCGCCGAACCAGCCCAAGTGGATTTTTTTTCGATTTTTAAAAAGCTCGTGATTTATCGATCTGACCTGGATGAGGTAGTCGCAACTTTGCATAATCCTTACGAACACTCTCTAATTATGATTTTAATTAGTTTTGTAAGGTTGCCAAAGTACGATCCTGCGCCAACATTGCTGACAAAACGGAATCTAAAAAAGTTTAAACTTTGAAATACGCGCAAAACTTTCACATAAAATACCTACCAAAAGTACCAATAAAGTATTTACCTTTCATGAAATTAGTTTACGAACAATAATATTAAACAACTACGATATAAACTTCGAATACATAATTCATAAATCAGCTTTTTTTTCTCCCGTTCGACCTTTTCTGCATACGCGGGCGGGAATTTTCGGCGTCTAGACTTAATAATTCTCGCTGAAAAATAATCCGGGCGAGCAGATAGGGAAGAGATTGGCAGATTGAATTAGAGCGCATAACGAAAATAAATGATACAAACTTTCCCTAGCGAGTATTGCTTGGAAGTTTTATGAGGAATGTCTTCGGCGCTGGCTGGTGGAATCTTTTAAGCCGTTGGCCCGGACTCTCCGGGGATGCCATTCAGACGCACAACAAACTGCCGTATTTCGCTACAAATTTCTCAAATATTTTCGATTTATAATGCACAGTAGTGGGCCGTTTAGGGAGCAGAATTTCACCAGCTTTAAATGCTTTAAAATAACTTGGCGCTTTGTTAAAGTTTGCATCGAAAATAGTTGTAGAATTTTAAAGAAGCTTTAATTTTTTTTAAGAATGCAGTATTAGTTTCTCAGGAATTAATCTTAAGTATACTGTAAATTATTGAGGAACGTAGAATATGACCTAATTGTTTTATAAATAGGTACATTTTTATGTAGTTTCTAATGCAATTTAAACTATAAGACATCCTAAAAATCCTCCCAAACTCCACTAATTTCTTGTACCAAATGGAAATAAATTCCGGAAATTTATGGCGCCTGTAAATAGCTTTTATTAGTTTGTCTCCGATACAGAGACATTTGTTTGGGCCGTTTTATTTTTTGCTCGTTTCGAAGAGGACGCGTTGTTCTTGGCCGTTGTTTTTATATTCATAAACATTGCGCTATACATATAAAAAAAATTAACGACTCAACCCGTCCATATACCTCCCGACAGTTTCATTTTTATCACGATAAACATGTACCAACAGCTGATTTATAGCCTTTAAGAAAACTACTACAAGGAAATTTTTATCTATTAAGAACTTTAAAACCGCATAAACAACGCGACAGGAAACAAATGGAATGTTCGAAAAGTTTCGTCCATTGCACGCGGTAAATTGCGCTAGTTATTATTAAGAGTGGAAGTTTTCGTGAATAATTATTGCCTAGAAGATAATAATATTACACCAGCGTTGCATTGTTTGGGGTAGGTATATAAAAAAGGGGGTTAATTCGGGTGAGTTTAAAGGGTCCGGTTGGCGCGTGGGTGGCGTGAAACCAGCCGTATAAATCCCGGAAAAATAGCGAAAAACCCCCGCACAGTCGGTCGAGTTTCATCCGATTTTCCGGTAAAGATCGTAAACTAATCCCCGTCGTTTTCCTTCTAATTTCCAGGCCGAGCGACGACCGAAACGAGATTGCGGCCGAACCGGCGGAATTAAGTGAAGAAAAACAAACAAACGGGGAACGGTTTATAAATTTCCTATGAGCACGACCGCTCGGTTTCGCAGCCATTATCGCTATTTAATTCAATAAGGATCCATCTATCTGGATAAATCGACCATAAATTGTTTAGGGTTAAGCTCGGACGCCGCACGAAAAA